TATATCTGGCTAGTGTCATCAACTCGAGCATATCCTTCCTTATCACCTTCCTAGTCAACAATCCCAAATAGACACCGTATCTGGCCTTTTGTACTAAGAGCCTGAACACCTTCTGATTGGCCTCATAGATTCGGCAGATGACAACCGCCCCTCCGGCCAGGGGTGAAGCCTACGGCAGAGCGGTGATCTGTATCTACGTGACATATTCACCGACAAAAGCCCATGAGTAAGTACCCCTAATCAAGCGGCAATATCCAAGACCGGGGGAAACTACAGTCGTTCTAGAGAATCCGGTATGTATTGGTACATATATACAAGAGCCATACCATCAGACAGTCACAAACGCCATTGAACCCAATCCCATATCCACCGTATATCTATACGCACGCTGTATCGCATAAAACAAGGCAAGACCGAATCCCTGAACCGTTACGCATTATTCGCGCAAGAGAAACTTGCACTACTCGGGTCGTCATGGATGGCTTTACCGGAGACGTAAAGGCCGAGGCCGCACTGCGTATCCATGAGCTACTGACTTTATCGGATGGGGGGTATGGGGTTGGCTATAGGGTAGATTAGCAAACTCACAAGTGTGGCAGCGACGACAATAGCCATCAGGTTCACGAGGGTAAGAAGAATTTTCTTTGGAGAGGAAAACCAAAGGCCTTTGTTCATGTGCAGCCAGAACATTCCGCTGAGGCCGAAGGTGAACCAGCTGGCGAAAAGGGCAGTCTGTTATTGGTATTAGTGTGTGAACGATGGTTAGTGACTTTGAGAATGAAGTACACATACAATCAAACCGAGAAGGTTGCTGAAGACAGGAATAGCTTCGGCAATGATCCAGGCGAGGATCCACAGACTCGCAGCAATGCCCACCCAGGAGCTGACCGCGACCCAGTCGCGCTTATGCATGCGGTCGGTACCACGGAAGATACGGATATAGATGTATTTGAAGGCGATGTGGCCGTTGATGACACCAGCAATAATGATCTAGTTTTATTAGTCATTGCGTTCGGCTTTCGAGAGCTGTGACTTACGGTTGGCAAGGCAATGCCGTAGGCAACTTTCGAGACGACAGGGCTTGCTGACCCCAGGGCAGGAGAGGCGACATCAACACCAGCGTAGCGGTAGATGACCACTGCTGCAATGATGTATAGGGAGATGTCGATACTCTGTAGTAAACACAGAGCCTTGGGGAAGTCCCGGGGGTCCTTCAACTCGGCGGCAAAGCCGAAGAAGGCGGCATGTCCAGCTGATTTGGTTAGAGATAATTGTCGATCTCGCCAAAGTGAATGACAACATACCGAAAGCGAAAACAATGTTCGTGACAGACGTGAACCCGTGGACCAGGTCGGTCTTAACCGTAACCTGCATGCTCCCGGCCCCGGGAGCTAAGATGCCAACACCGATCATAGTGATGATAACAGCCGACAGAATACTGATAAACGCTGTTGCTTGTCAATATCATCCCTAGAAAGTACGATCGAGGGTCCCTTACAAACAAGCGATAGCCAGGACATCTTGGCCAGCGTCCGAGGCAGGGACAATACAAAGGATACCACCGCTCCAACCACTCCAAAGACAATAGAGCAGGTGCCATGCTCAGTAAGGGTGTTCATAGCAATGACAAACGTGAGTATATGACTGGCCATGATGAATACTAGGAACAGTGTCTGAGTAACTCCTAGTAGTTCACGCCCAAATTTGCCCGCAAGCACCTCACCCGCATCGGCCATATTCGAGATGTGAGGGTATCTCCATTTGAATTGCCCAATCACATAACCAGTGTATGTAGCCAGGGCTCCGAAGAAAACCAAGATAATGAGAGCGCTATCGATATAATGTCAGTCAATGTAACATCGTCTCCATGAGAGTACGTACGGGACTAAGCCTAAGCCGGCGACGGCCGCTGGTAAGGAAAGGACACCCAAAGACACTGTCTCGGCCACCATGAGCAAACCGCATTGCCTATGGGAAGGATTAATTGTCAGAGATCTTGCTCAGCAGTCATTGAGGTTCCCCAGTACACACCACCACTTGAGGACCTTGTACTTGACTTCGGCAAACTCCTCGTCACCGAAGGCATCTTGCATATATGGGGATATCTCTTCTTTCTTCTCATCCATGTTGAATGATTGCTGGTCGGCGGGCATACGCTTCTCCTGCTGCTCAACCTGCTCCACATGGTTCGCAGTAGGGGATAATGAGACAATCTGAGGGGGACTCATAATGGCCACCTTTTTGCTATGCAATGAATGAATAAGTTTACTAGAAAGAATTATGGCAAGTGGAGCTTGCGTGAGGACAAGAGAAAAAAAACAAAAAAAAAAAAAGAGGAATAGAAGGGTTCCCTGCTCAGATATATAAAGGAGCTTAGAAGGTGAGGGCGAGCAGAAGAGCTGCCTGGTGAGGGAGTTGGCAGAGGAGGGTCGGGAGAAAGGGGAGCACTAAGAGGCAGTAAATCTCACAGCTCAACCTATCTTTGGCTTCCAAGCTCCTTTTTCAAATCAAGAGCGAACCATACTGACCCCGTAGACCTGCACTAACCCCAGTCTCCACAAGCAGAATATCCTGTCTCAGGACTCTCAGCCTGTCATCGGTGGCGAAGATCGCTTGGTTTCAGTGGGTCACTGGCTGACCAGAACGAATCATGAAAATGCGATGTAATGGAAATTGGCAGTACCCAGTCTGGGCTGTTGGAGGCCCGCAGTCACATTCTATTGTGGATCTGGTGAAGATGGGGTGTGATAAAGAGGCCGACGCCCGTTGACGCATGTTGGACACGGTGCCAGTTGTTTGGTGCAAGGGGGATTGAGAAATCGATCCCAAAGCCTCAAGATAGACGCATCTAGAGATCGTTATCGACGTTCCTTTGATGTCTACATGCTCTCCATACTCTCGACCGAGTCCGGAGTACGGTTTATTCCGCCCCAAGCGGGATAAGCTTCGGCATGGCGTCGTGGACGAATGCGGACGGTCCCTTAATGTCCGCATTGTCTCCAATCATCCCGACTCAACCAGTACAGATGCAGATCTGCCGTCACTGCATGAGCACCGTGACACAATCGCTCTTCTGTGTAAACGTGTGCAAAGCTAATCGTTTAGAAATAGATGGAATGGACTCTTTGATAAGATTGTGGTTATGTAACTGAGTCATGTTCTTTTATCAATAAGAAGGTAAACTAAGCAAGCACTAGCAGCTTGCCATGCGACATGCTTATCTACAGAGATGCAGCTACTCACCTGCGCTGCAGCAGGTAGAATACACCTTGGTGCCCACTGAGCATACAGCCTTCCTTGAAGACCCCAGGAAACTTGCCTGTAGGTTTGCTTTTTGAGTTTGATTGCTTAACCTTTTTCTGGAAGGAGAATCCCAAAAAGAAAGGAAAGGAAAAAAACTCTTCAAGTCCCCGGATGTTTCTTGCAATGATGTCCCAAGGTTTAAGCCAAGTGAAGGACGTGACTCGTATATACTGCTCGGCTACCCTCGGCCTCGGAAACGATTCCACAGGAACACGAAAGCATTATCCCGATTCCGACAAAAAGCTCCTATGTATGACTTCTGCACAGTACCCTAGCCAGCGGAATTTGGGCTTCACCGTAATCGTTGATTTGATAATTATTCCAAATGTACTCGATCTCACCATGGAAAGCGTACCCCAGATCGGCTCAACCCCAGACACCAACCCCCCGCTCCATCCCCAGGGCAGCCTAAAATACCCCGGATACGACTTAATGGGGCTTTTCCGCCGGTAATTAAACTACAGAATTCCCGTGAATGGATGAAGCAATAACCATTACCAAATAATTATCCCGAGGTATCTCGAACAAGCTCTCCCGCAGTGCCCGATTGTGGATCGGTTGCGGTGTACCGCCTCAACCGACACGGCTTTCTTCAACTTGCGGGTATTTCCACCAGGAAAACATCCGGTTCCTTGTTTGCTTTCTGGGGTCCGGGGTAGCCGCCCAGTGATGGATGCGCGATTTATCACCACCCCGGACGAATGGGAGAGTCGGTGATTCCTATCTCAATGTACGGAGTACGGAGTAGTGGGATCAGATTTTTCTGGGGAAGTTTCTGTTAGTCATGGTTTCGGCCCACAGTGGCTCCGCCCTCGTGCTGTGGGTTACAAGATAAATCAAGACCGTATCTCGATAAATCCAGAGGATACGCCCTCTGGGAGATAATGAGAGTGAAAATGTGGATTTGGAAAATTGTGTCTTACAGTGACACTTGACCGTGATGTCACCGACACAGTCCTCGACACGTTTCAAGGACTCATCTAGGGATTCATCCTATTCTCGGTGCTGATTTCCTTGTGTCAATGTCTATGGGTTTGAGTGAACTAGTATGAGTCTCCTCGAGTCTTTGTTGTCTATGGCGGATAAAGAAGAATAAGGCACTTCCCCATAAGCTCGACAAGGTACTCACGTTTTGAGTTGAAGTGCCTCAGAGGCTCGGCCTCTAGACCTCAGATTTAGCATTTCCGCCTCAGAGATCAAAATCCTGCCGGGTGTACGGGATCTCCTTGAGAATGAACGGGAGGGGCAAGCAAAGCAAATGCCCTGCGCAGAGGTGATTCGGTACCTACTACTACTTGGTAGTACTTGGCCGAGTACATACAGGGCACCGATTGGCTAGCCCTATATCAGCGAACGCTACGATTGGGCAGTCCCGTCCAACATTTCAATCGCTGGACGGCGATGTTTTTGGCTCAGATGCCAATACCTGGAGAGTCAAACTGGATGAGATTTTGCCTGGGAGTATAATTGAAGCAGGTTTATGCCTTCGGAGCGAAGGTCGCCCCTCGCATCGCCAAGGCTTGAGTCAGCTCGCTTGGACCTTCGTAGTTGATTTACCCCTCCACCATGTCATTCGTATTGCCGTAGCCTGGCGTAGACCCATTGCGGCTCTGGAGCCCGACGTCAAAAGATATTGAAGCATCGTCTGCCTCTTGCCTCTCCTCCTTCTACGACCTCAGTAGCGAGGATTTACAACCATGGCTACCGAGACGGAAAACGGCCGTATCGTGCAGGATAACGATGACTCGACCCCCGAGCCATCCTTCTACGATCAGAAGGATGCTCGCCAGGTTATAGGCAAAATAATTAGTTCAAACTTCGCGGTCATGGTAGCTGGACTGAATGGTCTGTATTTGTGGTCATCCGGACATATTAAAAACTCCGAACTGACCATGTGTAGACGCTGCCACTGGTGTCCTGATACCCTACATCCAACCGACCTACGACATAGGTTTGCTGCAAGTCTCATTCATTTATCTCGTCAATTTTACCGGCTGGCTTTGCGCCTGCTTTGCCAATATCCATGTCTGCTCCAGGCTAGGAACGGGGGGCACGCTACTCTTGGGCGCAACGGTTCAATGCCTCGGGTATGCGCTCATGTTCTGGCACCCGCCCTATCCTCTTTTCATGGCCGCCTTCTTTTTCACAGGCATGGGTGTCGCTTTCCAGGATGCGCAGGCAAATGCCTTCACTATCACTGTGAAAAATGCTCATAGATGGCTGGGTATACTCCATGCTGTATATGGATTGGGAACTATCATTGCTCCACTGATTGCTAACACAATCGCCTCGCGGACGCCAGAATGGCATCATTACTATTTGATCGTGTTTTGCGTGGGCGTTGTGAATATCTTGCTTCTCGCTTGGACGTTCAGGCGAGGTCTTTTCCGACCTAATGTGCAAAATGCCAAGGATACCGCTGGCAGTGAATTGAAGGCTACGCTAGCTAATCGATCGGTGTGGATCCTGAATGGATTCTTCTTCCTCTATGCTGGTGCGGAGGTGGCTTCTGGAGGTAGGATCTCAGAACATAAGCCAAGTATATATGTCTTTCGGTTTCGGCTAACCTGAACAGGATGGATTGTTCAGTTCATCGTCTCAGTAAGACATGGTGACCCGAAGAAAGTAGGTTATATCGCCTCCGGCTTTTGGACTGGCTTTACCGTGGGCCGAGTCCTGCTCGCGGACATCACACACAAATTTGGTGAACGTCGAATGGTGTTCATTTATCTCGTGCTGGCACTGGCGATGCAGCTCATGTTCTGGATCGTTCCGAGTATCCCAGTAAATGCTGTCGCAGTTTTCCTCTTGGGTAATCAACTTTGGACTTGGACACTCGCAGCAGAAACTGGTGAAATGCTGACAATTCAAATAGGATTCTTCATTGGACCGTTTTACCCTGTTGGACTGTATGTTCTTACCGAAATCGTGCCCCCGGAGCTACATGTCGGGGCGATAGGTATGTTGACCGAGCATCGTCTTTCTTTTGCACATTTTACAGACTCAGTGCCGTTTTGCTAACCCTCTGGAACAGGGTTCACTGCGAGTCTAGGACAAGCTGGCTCGGCCGCTTTCCCCTTCATGACAGGCGCAATAGCCTCGAAAGCGGGTGTTCAAGTCTTGCAACCGATCATGGTCGGCTTGCTTATTGGTATCGGCATATTTTGGGGGTTTATTCCCAAACAGGGGGAAATAAGGCTCGAGGACGACGACGAGAACGGTCGACTTGCAAACTAGGATCAGCAGGCGACCTTGTCATTGATACAAATTCGGATATGAATTTTGCCCTTTAAACAATTGCTGCATTGAGAAAATGTTTTGTTATGACTAGATTGTTCAGAATCATTTTTTTTGTCCCGCACGAAATGCAAATCCATGAAGAAATACCAGGGCTACTGAACGGGACATGTTTCCGTCACCGCAGTGGTGATTAATTCCTCCAGGAATGGATTTACCTCCGACCACTGAGCGATTTGCAGTGAGGTTGATATCCCATGTCAATAGCTTGCGTAGCTAAGTTTTAGATTGCTTAAGTGTCGCAACCAGATATATTCAACCTCAATGGCTAATTGTGTCAAGACACATGGTTGATATCTAGGTGATGGTCCCACGTCGCTTGGGCGCCGATAGAAACTTGGAGTTACATCTAAACTAGTACACTGGCCGTGCGATGTCTCGAACCGTACGAAAGAGCGCCCTGCCTCACATGAAAAAATTAGCATTACGGCCTCCACATTGACGACATTCATAACTTAGTGGGAAATAGCTCAGAGAGAAGATTAAGTCGTCATAGCCTTACGCATCCGCAGATGGTATGGCGATCCGACTAAGGATGACTGATACGAAAAGTTTCATCATAGCTGAACCAGGGTCAAGGGGAGGAGACTCACGAAACATTAGATAGGGGTTCAGAACCCCCGACCGTAATCGGGCAATGGCGGGTTCAAATAATGCCGAAAGTTCACTATGGATACTAGTTCTCCATTCTCTATTTTCGTCGAAGAACCCAACAGCTAATCTTCATACGAAACGATCCTGCGACCAGCCAAATGAGAATGATAACCTGATGGAGCAGACTTGTGAGTACCCCCAGAAGCGTCTTCATCATAATCCAGCGTAGGGTTCGTGCTGTTATCTACGGTCTGGTTTCTGGCCGCTGACTGCCTGGTATTGGACTGCAGGGCTCTCGCTTGTTGATCCTCGCCTGTCGATTGATCAGTTACACTGACGACATTAGATCGCTTCGCAGCAGTGTCATTATCATCTGCTTGATCGTCCTTAGATTCATTGGATTCAGAAACTTTCAGACTCTCCTCCTCCTCTTCCCTAAGTTGTCTTTCGCGTAAAAGTGAGTGTATCTCACTATGTCTGAATATTTTTATCTGCTCGTCCGTCAGGGTGCGCTTCACACCATCGGGGTAGTATCCAAGGCCGTCATCATCGTCTGCGAGCTCGTCTGCTACATTTTCATTGGATGCATACTCAGATACGAGAGACTGGGCACTTCCGGGAAAGTGTTTAGCTTGAAATGCTTGCAGGTCTTCCTATGGCGAAGGGGGTCAGTGAGATGAGGTCAGGACAACATAGGACAAAACTCACTATCGTTACAGGTGGGATGTGCAATGCAGACATTTTGGTTGTTATCTGCAATACAAACCTACTCACACGATCCAAGTCATGCGTGGATGCAGTATAACGAATCGACGTGGCAGCAGGTTGTCTACTCCAACAGCTTGAGGACGGGAGGAAATCGAAAGGACGCGTTTCTTGGCGCGACAACCAGGTCTGTAATCTTACACCTGGGCCGTAATTTACCTATCCTGAGGCATCCGTATTTTATCTCGTTCATTTTTCTTCTGTAGGGATTCCATTGAATTGTTATCTAACAATAAAAAGTCCCAAGAAAAGCGAATCAAGAGATTCTGGAAGGTGTGATAGACAAATTAACCCATTTTCTAGACCTACCTGTATCCCTATCGCCTCTACCCCAGAAGTCTAATGATAATTATGAACTCTTGCTTCTGGTATGTACATAGTTCATATTGAGACAAGTGCTGATATTTAGGTATAGAAGCCCGACGTCACCAGATAAGCACGAATCACAGTAGTCGAAGCGCACTGTAATCATCAATCTGGGATCCTAGTCATTGGATCCCCTTTCCCTCTTTTTTTTTGATATGCCTTGACTGCAACGCAGGTTTCATGATATTACCAATAGTGCTACCACGATGAATATATCATGGCCTACATAGAATTTTCTCGGCAGCCGATCATGAACTTCTGAACTTTATTAAGCAACCTTTTTCTCTTCGATCCCATCTTCTTATATATTATGCGCGCTTGGATCGCTGGGACAGATTTGAATACAGTGACTAGTGACTAGTCAGCTGATCCTGCAGCTGGTCATCCAGAAGCTGCACAGTTAGTGTTAATGCAAGGCGTCGAACCATTAAAATGTCACGGGAGAAATAAAATTCTCCGTTCCTTTCTAACTAATTACCCCAGGAGACTAGCAAGCGGCATACTTGTTATATTGTTGCCGATTTTCACCTTCACGCAGTCAAAGCAGACACTCAACTCACGTAGTCCTCGAAGTTCTATCTTTGCGATCTCGTCCCTTTCATCGGGAGAGGGCTCCGTTAAGCTCCAAGCCAAAGAGATGTGAAAGCAGTGGGAGTAGTCTGTAGAATCACCTTGCTGCCATTGCATAGGGGTGCTAGAGTCTGCATCTGCGTTCAAGATATGCGGTGAAGCCTCATAGAGCGATGGTTGGCTAAATAAAGCTAGTGATCGATTTGAGAGTTTCAGAAGGCGGTTGAGGGCGTCGTTTTCCGGCGTTTTGACTCGCAGAACATAGAACCACCGTGTCTTTTCATAATTGGACACACAGTGCAAGCCTTCCGTTGTAACATTGAACCTTGTGCGATGTCAAATCTTTAGAGCCCTGTAAGGGGGCAAAGGCAACTTACGCTCGTATGTTTGAATCTTGAATGGCGGATTGAAAAATTTCCAAAAATGACTGCCTTTGCTCAGTCCGAAGAACAACCGGCCTTGAGAGGCTGATATGCAGTGGGAGTTGTGCGCCAAGATCACTTCGCAGTAAGCTATTGAGCTCCACTTTACTCTTTCTAAGCTTCCCCTCCATCTGCGCAATAACATTGCTCAATACGGACAGCTCTCCTCTTGACGGATACCCTGCTCATGTTAGCTCACGAATCAGGAATAGTAGGAGATTGTAACCATACACTCTAAATAGATATGGGTCGGCCAGTTTCCTTCAACATGCGGAATAGCCCTTTTACGGCCCCCATGGAGGCTTGGATCATCTTTTACACTAATACGAGTGCTCGATGCATATAGATCATGGAAGGCTTTCGGCAGTGGAGGGAGGGATGAAATCAGCGTGGCAGTGTTTTCCTGCCGCAGTCGCTTGGCTGGTCTTGGAGAAATTTCACTATGTGAAGTATCTTCCTCGGACTCTGAATCCGAATATTGCACCAACGCCATCAGGTGGTGGGTGTCTCGTTGGGAAGAAATGTGTTGTTGTTCACAAGCCAAGAAAGTGTGGGTAACTTTCGGTATTTTGGTGCGCCAAGCCTGCGGCTTTCTGCACACCCCAATGAGACATTGACAATAGATAATTTCGTATATGCATGTTGACAATGCACTAGGAATAGGTGATTGTCGCCCCGTTCAACTTATTGATATCAGAATTGGAACTAGTCTGCTATCACATTTGCAGCGCCTTGCATCTCGGGCTGCTGGTCATATAACAACCTGACTGATAGAGTTACTCGACTGGAGAACTGAGCAAGAACATGAGCCAGGGCTCCCATACCATTCGGACCCCGAAGCTTTCTGAGCCCTCTCAGGTCTCCATCCTCGTGTACTCGCATTACAGGCCGGTTTTATATATTTTATAAGTCAGAAAAGTTAAATACTCGTGATGATGATCGTGGGGCGAAAGTGAAAGTCAACCCGATCTCGTGACTCAGAATTAATGACTATATTTAGTTCCTCAATTTCTCTATTTACAGGATCTGGATTTATTCTACTAAGCAGCAATCTTAAGGGTGCCTCAGCTTTCCAGCAGTGTTTCACTGAAATCCCCCGAAAGTTATATACGTACGTTCTGGAACTTCGCGCATAGTGTAGATGTTAGAATAGAAATAAAGTGAACGGTCCTGAATGTAAAATTGGTCCCTTGAATTTTATCAGGAACCGGTGGCTCGTGCGAGGTGATTAACTCAGTAAACGTCATGGAAGCAAATTCCACGGTTCTTCTAGACCCTCGCTAGTACGACATCACAGAGTAGTACCTGTACTAGCCAACCTACTACGCGATACTAGTCCTTTTAATGCGAGGTGCACGGACACTCTGATTGTATTACTGCTTAAACTTCGAACTGATTCTTCCTACGAGAACTTCTCTGGAGTAAATGCTTCGGGTGATGGTCGGATAAGAGGAAATATACGCCTCATCCGGTGGAAACCGTAAGATCAGTTATGACGTGACTATAAACATGATCTGCGGTCCACTTTAGTCATGCAGCCCAGTCAGATGCTCAAGAACCGTTGGTTGGTGCTGACTACTCGTAAGGTTCAGTGCCTTTTCACAGGTGCCGAGGGGGGTCAGGAAAATTTCATGAATCCGTGGAAGAACAACTTTGGGCAGTAAAAATTCTGCCAAATCTCTGAGGTCAACCATCTAGACTCTCATCCTTTCATCATCGAGATCAGTGAAATGTAACCAAAAGGGTCTAGTCTTCCGGACAGATCCTTACGCTAGACTCGATGTGGCGAAACCGCTAAGCCTATACAAGGCTGACGTGCCACTGTTATCGATAAGCCTACCCCCCGGACCGTGCGGGATCATCATACGCAAGTCGTCACGTCACTCTCGGCCACCGATGACTCTTCCTTATATTATTACTGTCTGTCAAGAGTGTTCTTCTTCATCCTCTTAGTATCTATCTCTTTATTTATCTTGGTCAAAGATTTCACACCAGAATACCACAATATCAAAGGTTTGCGCGCCTGTGAACTACAATTTTCCACTTTCAATACAAGCCCCACTTCAGATAGTGACATTAAACGCACTATCACAATAGCGTCCGTGTGCTATCGCCTACCTGCATACATCTATTCAACTCTATTCAGCCATCTGAGCTGTCAGGAGACAGGTCTCGAACTTATTCTACGACAGCTTCACCGTCTATTCAATAGCATGGCCTCCACCGGAGAAGCCATCTATATGACACCCTACTCGCCCTACCCTTCTCATCACCAGCAGGATTTGGACCTGAACATGAACAGCTCCTGCTGCCGTTACCTCTCAGCTTCACCAAGTCGCCAGTCACTTCGACGCCAGCGATCCTCGTCGATCCCTTCGATTTGCTTTGACGGATATCTCGAGCACCTCCCCGTCGAGCCAAAGAAGAAACGCGAGTGCACCAGTTACTACAACAATCACCCCCGCCGCCACTCTCGCGGCCCACGACGCACAATGAGGTATTCCCGAGACAGTCAACTCGTTAATCCCGACGTCATCGATCGCCTGGATAGTGCTGGCTTTTATCAGTATCATCATGAAGGACCATACGATGCAGTATACCCGGAAAGGAATTTCGACAGCAAGTTGAGCCCCGTCGAAGCCGTCAAAAGAACGAACGAGGAAGCTTTGAAGGCCACCCCCGAGAATAAGATTAAAGACAGCATTAACAGTCATCGTCCTCTCGATGGGGTGGCTTTCTATCCACCTGGTACTACGGATAGGGAAGGACAAATTTATAACTACGAGGAGGGTACCAATATGATGAACGACTATGGTAACTTTATGCGCTGCCCCGGCTTGGTAAGTACTCACTCATATATCTTGTTACAACAAAGCACTAACCTCTTTTGACAGAAATTCACCGAAGAAGACTTCAAGAATGATCCTTTCTACAACACGCCACTTCCAAAGCCATTCGCCTCCCTCAGAAGGGTACTAAGCCTGCGTCGCCGAAACCGCAGGAGTACCCAGTGAATGAATTCGACTTCTCCATCTCCGAAGGTTATTTAAGGAATATATAAAGGGTTAAGATTGATAAATAGGGCTAGGATGTCAGGGATTTGACAACACAATATGATACCTCATGTTTTGTTATGTACTTCAGCATCATGCTGACCACGGAATGGGCTGATATATGGGGTTGTTCGGAGTTTTGGGCATGGAGTTATGGATTGATTATCTTTCATGTTGTTCGGCTTTCTGTAATTATAAATGTCCGTCAAGATCTCAACGTGCTTCCTCCTATCCCCGTTGAACTTGATCATGGTCATGATTGGGCATGTTTAATGTTGTCCGAATCTACTCCTGTACCCACTGCCCATCAGAGAACCAACTGGACTTTACTTGCCTCTCGGATGCAGCATCACAAGTCCGATCGAGTGCAATTGAATCAACTTACTTCTACCTCTCGGATATGATAATGAATCCGATAGAGGGACACTTTACGAAAAACTACACTGCCAGTAGTAACTTCCACTCCGTAGTAACGTAAGAATCTTACTATGCATATGTTCCGTTGACACGGGCGTACACCACCGGAATGAATAATTTACATTTTACCAATGAAATCCATACATAAGGCGAGTTCGCGTAATATATTCATCGAACGAGAAAAACTTAGCCATGCATAACCTTGTAAAATAATCTCGGGCAGTAAGAGTGTTGACCAGTGGTACGTTCAGAATGTCCTAATCATGAAATCGCTTGTATCAATACCAATCACAAAGTATAAGTATGGACGATCTCTACTAGTAGCTGTTCACCGAAGGCAACCAAAATATACGATACGTAATGAGGAGGGGGGAGAGGGTTAAGCGAGCAGTGCGAGAATGCGGAATTAGCGTATGAGTGTGTAGAGCAGCATTGCTACTGTGAGGGGTCTCCATGCTCCAGCTCGCCCTTGCATGTACCCCAATATATTAGCAGCTTGGGCAGTTGATGGGCATGTCCAACTTTAATTATTGCTCTCCAAAACGGATAGTCGTAATCCTTTTCAAATACTTTTTTCAGTACAGAGTAGCATTAGGTCTTCTTTGGAGCTTGGAAAAAAGAAAAGGGGGAAAAAAAAGGAAAAAGAAAAAGAAATCCCCTAAACCAAAGGAGGGAAACTTGTACCTAGTGCAAGCACCTTGAGTACTATAGATGATGTGAGAATTTGGTCCCGCCCTAAACTACGGTTTCTACCAGCAAGATCACGGATAAATACATAGATATGAGTCATGTGTATGCCCTTATTTCACCGTAAAGAGGATTGAGCTCGAGCTCTTAGGGCTGGATTGTCTCCACGAGATGCCAAGATTGTTGGATCTGGGGAGAACTGTACGCGCATGCTTGGCGCAATCAGGATCGTCAAAATGGCACTAAGGCCTTTAGGATCAGGGTTCCTTTCAGAGCCGGGGGGGAAAGTGTCACGCCATTTAGCAAAGGAGGGTTCCCAAGGATTCAAGGACACTTTGATTCGGTTGGGTCTCATACATTATGATTCTAGTGAGATGCCTCTTGCAGAGCACACTTGATTAGTAGTGTGAATACTATGTTAGCTTGCTACTGTCCATATTGCTAAATCATCTTGTTTAGCACTGGGATCCCCTGTATACCTACCACTGCATTAAAACAACTCTATTCTTACCGCATTGTTTACAGTACAAGTCTTTTGTTAGCGTATTTACCTCGTTATATATGTTCCAGAAGATGTCACGACATGTATCCTTCATTTGTCTCTCTTGTTATTTCCCTATTTATAACAAGATCATCCTTGTTATTATTATCTCATATAACTTGAAACAACAAGGGAGGACCTTCTTTGTTTCAATTGAAGGTTGAGGACTGTAGAAACATAGATGGGGCGCTAACGAATTGGAACTGCTTCGAAAAAGGCTTGGCGGAGATTATTGAAGGAGGACAACTATTGATAATCATCCGATGACTGTCATGCAACTCCGCCACCAAGGACAGCTTGTCAACTTCTCTCGCTCTACTCCTTCATAACTCGCCCAATCCGCTCATTCTCTTTTTAAAAAATTTCGCCGTCGCGTTGAATTTTGTCGCATCTTTTTGATTTTTTGTTCTCGTTCATTTAAACCCTGATAGACATACATAGCAGTGGATTATTGTTGACCGAAGATCATGAGCTTAAACCCTTGATCTGATTGACAATTTCGAGGCCCACTGTTTGTGTTTCTCATGTGAAGAGAACGGATTTACACAACCGATAGACACTTAATTTTTTTATACACCCACACATCCATTACAATTGTTTTCTTGCATATTGTTCTCCGGATTAAAAAAAATGCATTCTGCAGCCAAAGTATTTTATTTGGCTGTGTTTGCCTTCTTGAGGCTCGCCAATGCCGAGTCTCAACATCATGACCAGAATACATGCGCCGTGAGTTACACTATATATATATAGAAATCGGATTTAGTCTTCACTTATTGAGCCCCATTTGCTAACCTATGCGCTGTTTAGATCGACCCTAAAGCCACGGTCTCCGACGCCTGCGTCTCCTACAACAGCATTGATTCGTTGAACGACAAAGTTTACCCTCTCCTCCAATCTATAACTCAAGATACCGACTTCTTCTCATATTATCGACTTAATCTTTTCAACAAAGTCTGCCCCTTTTGGTCAGACGAGAATAGTATGTGTGGGAACATTGCATGCTCCGTTACTACCATCGAGTCGGAAGAGGATATCCCACTACCATGGCGCGCAGAGGAACTAAGTAAGCTCGAGGGTCCGAAAGCTGGTCATCCTGGGCCCGGGGTTCGGAAGGAGAGACCTGGCGATCGACCACTCCAAGGTATGCTTGGAGAAGGTGTCGGAGAAAGTTGCGTGGTTGAGTACGATGATGAGTGCGATCAGCGAGACTATTGTGTTCCGGAGGACGAAGGGGCGAGCGCTAAAGGCGACTATGTCAGTTTGCTTGATAACCCGGAGCGATTTACGGGATATGCAGGAATGGGAGCCCACCAGGTGTGGAATGCAATTTACCGTGAGAACTGCTTCTTGAAGTCGACACCGGAACAATTGGAACTGTCTCCGAACCCTCAGTTTGGAGAGCTTCAGGCTGTCAATGACTTGCGCAATGTCCTCCAGAATGAGCTGAAGCGCGCAGAGGGATTGCCGCTGGACAATGAGTGCCTCGAGAAGCGGGTTTTCCACCGGGTCATCAGCGGTATGCATGCATCCATTTCGACCCATCTTTGCTGGGACTATTTCAACCAGTCTACCGGTCAATGGAACCCGAATCTGCAATGCTTCAAGGAAAGATTGCACGACCACCCGGAGCGGATCTCGAACTTGTACTTCAACTACGCCTTGGTGTCCCGCGCCGTCGCCAAATTACGGAAGCACCTCGAGAATTATACATACTGCACCAGCGATCCCGTCCAGGATGCAGACACTAAGGAGAAGGTGTCCCTCTTGACTTCGGCTCTTGCAAACCGGCCACAGATCTTCGATGAGAACTTGATGTTCCAGGATCCAAGTGCCATCGGCTTGAAGGAAGACTTCCGCAACCGGTTTAGAAATGTGAGCCGCTTGATGGATTGTGTTGGATGCGATAAGTGCCGACTATGGGGGAAGCTGCAGGTTAATGGATATGGCACGGCCTTGAAGGTCCTGTTTGAGTACGACGAGACCAAGAATGGAGAAAACCCTCCTTTGCGCAGGACAGAACTTGTGGCTTTGGTCAACACTCTAGGTCGCATCTCTCACAGTGTGGCGGCTATTAGGAGCTTTCATCGTGCTATGGATGTGCAAGATGGAGAGACTCTTACAATTCCCGCTGACGTGTCGTCAGTAAAGAACCCCAAGGGCAAGACCACAAAACGTCTCATCAAGGACGGCGGTACGACGTTCTACTATGAAGATGATGATGACGATTTTCAGTATCTTACTGAAAAGCTCCCATGGGAGCGGGCGCCACGAGGCGAGAATGACGGCTTCCTAGACGACCTCCGCTCGGAGTTTGAGGTTTTTTGGAATACATTCGTCTACGTCTTGAGGAGCTGGGTCAATATTCCCCAGACCCTGTAAGTATTCTTGATGCGAGTTATAGCACCTGGGTACTAATAGCCATTTGACACAGATTTGAAATTTCTACTCTAGAGTTTAACCGACTCTGGAATTATTGGCTGGGACTTCCCGTGCCGCCACGGTCTTGGAAAATTAAACGGCCAACGGAGCCGGGGATGCAGAGCCGCGACGAGCTATGATCAGGGGGTGTTTTATCGCGTATACATTCGGTGCTCAGGTTGTTTGTGGATTATTTGACTGTACAGTAGCAGAGGATCTCTTCATTGGCGTTTCTTAGGCGTTGTTAACAACCAGCGGATGCACATCTTCGGAGTTCAGGGTGTATATTATGTGGGTGTGAACAGCTTTGGATGTTTAAGAGCTATTCACCGAGAGTCCAGGTTTGGATGAATGAATTGTCTTTCGAATATTAATGTTCTTAAATGGTTTTCTAGAAGCTCGTATCAACATAATCATATGAACCTCCCAAACTTCGGACTTCGTTCGGCGTTCTCCGTCGGCAAGGCTTCCGGTAGAGCCTCGGCATTTCCGGGCACATGCACCGAACTTTTCGATTTCTCCTCGTTTGCGCCTCCACCGCTCTCAGACCCCATCGTCCCCATCTCCACCATTCACTCTCCTCTCCTCTTCTCCTTCCCCATCTCTAAGCTTCCACTATCTACCTCACCATTAGCATAGAGAGCCCTGCTTAGTGTCTCCGCTTGGGTCGATCTCGATGCCAGGCTGCTGATTGATCATCTCCAATACAACATATGGCATCGGTTTCGCCACCTAAGCCTTGGGAGAGAGCAGGTGCCGCAGCAAGTGGTTAGTCATTGCCAACTTACCGATCTACCATCCTCTCCTTGACCTTTACTCACACGATATTTCACTAGGGAACGTATTGTCAGCACCACCTACTGGCGGCCCAGTCGCGTCTTCTGCGATGACTGCCACAGCCGCGGCGCCAGCCGCGACCACATCTACAACCGCCTCAACAGCATCTACCGCCCCCGACCTTCCCTCTCGTCCTAACACGCTAAACGCCGTTGTAAATCGCACCGCATCAAACTATTCGCCGTATGGTGCCTCCCGGATTGGAGCTAGCCCATACGGAGGGTACGGTGGCTATGGCTCGTACTCCTCGCCATATTCCCGCTTTGGCAGCATGGGGTCAATGTACGGAGGTTACGGAGGTTATGGCGGCATGTACGGTGGAATGGGAGGAATGGGAGGGATGGGTGGGATGTACGGCGGCATGCCTGGTGATCCCAACGACCCCAACAGCTTGACCAATTCTTTCAGTCAAAGCACACAAGCTACGTTTCAGATGATCGAAAGCATTGTGGGCGCATTCGGCGGATTCGCCCAGATGCTTGAGAGCACCTATATGGCAACTCATAGTTCATTCTTTGGTATGTTGCGATC